ATATATATATATATTTAAATTTGTACATTGCAACATAGCAGCAAACAAATTAGCAATTAATTTAAATTAACACACATTACGTACACATAAATAGATATATCACATATATGAAACTATACCAAAAACGTATGTAATCTTACAAAACAAGACATATTAGTACATTAATTAATAACTGTAATTATCTATTTATATAATATTAAGTATTCCAAAATAACATAGAAATAAAAGTATATATATATGCACTTTTATAATAAATTATCATACATATAAATATATATACATTATTGTACAATGTCGTTATACTATTCTTCGCCCCACCCTTGTTTTTCGTATAGCAATGCTGCACACCTTGATTTCGTGCATTACGTACCTTTTCACCTTACGGATATGAGATAGGTCATATCACAACAGGTAAGAAAATTTCAAGTGTATCATTTTTCAATATATAAACATATCAGATATGAAGTTTGTATATCTGTATATACGATATTATCTTCGTTAAATTAATGATAAGGATTGTATATATAAATATTTTTTTGAAGTTTGGTTTGGTATTTCGTACTTTATATGTGTTTAATATCTTTTTTGCTTTATTGAACCTTTATTCTGTTAATTAAATAACAAGTTGATAGAATCACAGTTTTTTTTATTTTATATATTTCAGTTCATATTTTTATTATAAATTATATGTCCATAAACACTCTCAATTTTTTAAAAATCACTGTTTAATAATATTTCTTACCATATTTAACATATCTCGCAAATATATATATATATATGTATGATTTAATGTATTTTAATATAAAAATTAATTTAATGTATCAATTATTAAATAAAGTCATTCTATAAATTAATAAAATATAAAATATAAATATTCAATATTTTTAAACATGTATTACATGTATTACCTTTTTTTTAATTATTTATTTAGTAAAAATGAGCTCACAAGATACAACTGACCATGTGTCAGCAATTAATTCACCTAATATATCTTCAAGAACAAAAAATTGGGTCCAATTTGAAGATGAAGCACCTGCTAAAGATAATACTAGTATAGAAGAAAAAGCTAAAACAAATGCGCCAGCTGTAATAAAACCAGAATCAGTAACAGTAAATGTTGAAAAAATTGGAAAATCTGTTGATAAGTCAGATAATCAACAAACAAAAAATCACGAATATAAAGGTGCTGTGATATCAACTGAATCCGTCCAGATTAATTTAGATAGGTCAGGTTTAAGCCGTTCTATTACACCTGGAAGTCCAGATCTAAATTTACCATCTGAAGTAAGAATTTCTGATCCTAAGAGTGCTTCTTTGAAGACTATTGATCTCCGAGATATATCTAATGGCAGAAGTACTACCAATAATATTATAAGTACACCTATTGGAAATATTAGACAAGGCTTTGCTAATGGAGATACTATAGTTACTCTTTTACCAGTTAATACTAGATGGCCGTGGGTTACTCCAGCTAAATTTCGTCCAGAATTAGTACCAGAAGAATTAATGGCTCAAGGTTTAACAGTAAGTTAATTACATTTTATTTCATGCGTATTTCCTCATAGAATTTACATTTCTTTATTTTGTTTATATTATATTTTTCTTTATTTGTAAAGTTCATATATTCGCTCTTATATGTATATTATGTATAAGCTATTGTGTTCAACCATTACAGCTTACAGTAGAGGACTACGTACATATAATGGAACTGCTTGTAAACGATGTACGTTTTAATATGTACAATGTATGCTACAAAAGGATTCTTGTCCTTTGGATATTCACTGCATTTATTGTATTGCTTGGCTTATTGTTTTCTGGAGTAACTGGTCTTACTTTATTTGGACTTGGTGTCATGTGGTTAGTCCTCAATGCTGCTGCAATATTTTTTTGCATGTTCATCAAGATAAAATTAAATCATAATCTTGAAAAATGTATGGGTCAAGTGAACAAGCATTTACTTCGGCATAAGATATTGCTTGGATTAGACGATAGGGGAAAGATTTCATGTCACAAAGTCAATCTGTGCTTCATATACTTTGATACAACAGACTGTATTGTAAGTGTAATTAAATATATACTTAATTTATACAGTCGAAGGTTAATATGACTGCCAAACAAAAATATTTTCAGTTGAAGTTGTTAAAAAATTTGTTGTTATATTTTATTATATTTATATAATATATTCAAGAATTGATTTTATTTTATACCAGAAAAAGTTACAAGAAGTTATAGAACGTGAAGAACGTGAAGGAAGAGTAATTGGTGAAGATGGAAATTCTGAAATGCGTCGAAAAAGAGAATTGCAACAGCGAATGGATATAGATGATAGTGATATTGTAATACAAGGCAATACAACCACCAGAATTTCTCGTAAACAGGTATGAAACTTTTATTTCAGGTAATTATACTATTTAAGTTACATTTATTTATTTAATTTAGTATTTGATCCATAATATTTGATATTTGTATAAATCATATTTTATAAAAATGACCGTAATCGTAAAAGTCAAATTATTGTAATTGATCTTACGACATTTTATTTTTTGTGAATAACTATAAATAATTAGGGTAAAAGCGAACAAGTATTCTGCCGCTATGTACAACGTTGGGCAAAGGATTATTTACGTCGCCGATTGGATTGGACAGTAGACGAAGAAGGTGGAAATCCTTCTTCACCTCGTCACTTAGCATCGGCTTTATGTCCATGTCAATATATAGAAGAATGGTTACGCAATAAGCCTCATGTTCAAGGCAGAGATTTTTGTCCTAGTTGGAGTAGTTTTCTTAAAGACAGAGGCATTTAAAATCGTTCAACAAAAACTAAAAACAGTATTGAAAACATTCAAAGCAATTTTGATAGATTTAATAAGTTTTATTTTTAAACTTATTGAAAAATTATTCTGATAGTAGGATTTTTTAGACATCTACATAAAAAAAGAGATATTTTAAAAATCAAAGAATTCAAATAGATTTATAGCTGTATTAAAACTGGATAAATAATCAAAATTTATATTAATGAAAACTAGTAAAAGTAAATTATATAAAATATGAAAATTACTTATAATTATGTACTTAACTATACAAGATTTTCATTTATAACCTTATTAATATATGAAATATTTTTTTAGCATTATTTTTTGGTGATTTGGATTATTAATGATATATACTTAATATTGTTTTTTTTCTTATATTTTTTGTTGACTAATATGATATTAAACATTCATTATTAAATTCCATATTTGTGTAAAACTTGTGTAAATTACACATATATGTATTATTACAAACTTTATTTTCATACTGTTAAGGCCAAGGATGGATGTAAGGGACGCGTTTCTTTGGCTTTGGCTTTACAGTCACTGTCAATAAATGTATAAACATGATGTGAAGGACATATTCCTGGACAGTATCGTTAGGCCCATAAAATAATTGCAAATATTCTACCTTGCCCAATGATGCTTATTAGCTAAAAATGACTTACCCTTCCAATCACGATTATTATGTTGATTTTTGGCTAAAAGGTCAAGATCAGTCCCATAGAGTAATATTCGCAATTACTTTATAGGCCTGACGGTACTGTCTAGGGATGCGTCCCACACATTATGTTTATACATTTATTGGCTTTGGACAGAGGACATCCTTGGCTCTAACACATACAATTGTACATAGTATTTAAATTAAAATAATTCAGAATTGCAAGCTTGATATATGTAAGAAACATGTAAAATGGTTAATGGTAAAAAGTTTCTTAAAACAATACATTCTGTTATGCATTTAATTTGATAATGCATCTTTTATGTATGATAGATTTTTTTAAGTTCATGAATGAGCTGATTTTGATATATAGAAAGACGGATTTATTTTATCACTATTACTTCGGCTCTAGGTTTCTGATGATGGTATGTGTTGACAGGAACGGGCGGAGTTGCTGTTGCTGAGGTATGCATCTCGATGGGCACATCACTTTGTGCGCCGCAGACTTGATCTGGTTATAGACTCACAGGAACGTAATAGAGACATCGCAGGTTTATCTGTTCCACCACGACATTGTGTCTCCGCCCGTTGTCCTTGTCAATTCATTGAGGACCATCTTAAATACAAGCCTAGAGGCAAGTTAATATTTCGTACGTTTTTCTTGATGCCGAACTTTAGTGGTAAATAGCTACAATTGATCATTTTATAATGATGTAATCACAACTTGATACTTTTTATTTTATATATATGAAAAAACTTATGTTCCATTGTGTAAAAAAAACAACAAATTGAAATTAATTAGTATTATAAACTTAAATAAAGCAAGTAGTTACTATCACTAGTAACAATTATATGTATATATATAAAATTTGAGTTTCTATAATATTATATTTCTTTTAATAATATGAGATTATTAAAAATTTTTATTTCATGTTATATTCTTGTTTAATATTCTATCTTCAATGTATTATTCATGTAATGAAAATTCATATATTTTATATATGACATCAAAATTTTTAAGTTATTTGTTTCATTTTGTTTTATTTTTAACTAATCCAAATAACATTCACCATTTTACAAAATACAGGGACACATTATATTAAGCACAAAAAAGTGATGAAAGATTGTTAATACTTAAAAAAAAAATTATAATCATTCCATTATTGTTACATTATTTTTTATAAATCAAATTATTTTAAAATTCTTAAAACATTTAATACACGCTTTTATAATTATAATAAATTTTATAGAGAAATTATATATATTATATATGTGATTTTACATAAATTTTCATATAGTAATATTGGAAAATTATGTATAATTATACATGATTAAGAGGAATTTGAATCATAAAACTGGATATTTCTTATTTTATAAAAAAAGAGATAAGTTTAGTAATCATTTTAAGTTAAGAAACTTTACTCATTTGCAAAAATGATATTAAAACAGTTTAAAATAATTTATGATAATTGCGAATAATTGATCATTATAAATGTTGTAAAAAATACAATGAACTTATATATTTCTGAATTCCGTCCTAATTGAACATATCGACGCATTATGTAAAGAATATGATTAATATATTGTATACTTTTATATTCCGTTTAAAAAAATACTTAATATCTATAAACGAACAGAGCTGTTCTACTTTTATATAACAAATGTAAAGCACTTTTATATATATTATTGTTACAGATGTTATGAATAAAGATAAACACATAATATATATGTTTTTTTTGGTGGAGGTAAAATTGTAAAAAACCTTGTCATTAAAGTAAATTAATTACTTCCTGCAAGTCTTTTGCTTAGTCTTAACTGTCTAGATATACCTTACATGTATGAATATTTTTCTAAAACATAGGTATTTGTCACTAACCATTGACTAATCCAGGGATGTTACTTGCATGCAGCTGGACAAAAGGCAATACATTTTGATATTTCATTTGAACCACATTTTGTGAGCACATGAAAATCATTCATTAAATAATATAGCTGTAAGTATTGTTAAATCTAAATTTTCATATAACATGCTTAACAAACATTGTGTAGGTAATTATTTTGTATACATACATTTATACATATACTTACATTATAATTATTAAAAAATTATAACAATATTCTCTGTTTTAAATACATTTTTAATTATATCATTTTATACTTTTAATTTCTAAATTAAAATATTAATTATGATCATAATTTCTAAAGATTAATTAAAGATTAATTTAAAATTTTGTGCATGATTTTTTCAGGGTATCCACCTGGCTTTACATGGTGTGCTTATCTTAATGATCCATTAGTTAGATATGATATTACAACAGGTATATCTAATTAACAATGTCAATCAGTGAATTAATGCACAACAGTATTCGTAAAGGCATTTGTGAAGAAGTAGTCATATTAATATCTATTATTCTATTTTTTGAATAACTGTTAGTATATTTGAAACATAAGCACAACAAAGTTCATATCGTAGTAGTCTTGAAAATCAATCACAAAAAGTATTCTTATACCTCGATCATTCCAAATAATGGGAAAATAAAAAACAAAACATTAGAATTGTTTTATATTCTGAAATACATGTTCAAATATTTACAAAGTATACATGTCACAAACTAATTAAATGGAATTTAATTAATGATATTTAATATTATAACTGTAGTGCCTTTTAACTGCCTATGACTATTACAATGGCCTTATCATATAAAATATGTAAAGATTAAGATATAATTAAGATTAAATTAAAAAGACGTATTAATTGTATTCATAAAATTATTCATACAGCATATTATACACACATAGATATAGAAATAATATAAAAGAATTATACGTAATACTTAT